ATATGTGCGGGGGGCAGGGCGCTTGCTTTTGGCACACGACGGCAAAAAAGTTAGCCATCACTGATCTAACACAATGACCCCCCCAACCTTTTGGGCGCCAGGGACTGGTTCCGTGGAGAGGCCAGACACGGCCCTGTTTTTGGCACGCTGGGGCCCAGTGCTGGTCCACAGACCAGGGGTCGGGGATCCCTGATCTAACATAGATCATATACAGGCAGTCCTTGAGTTACGTCCGCAATCCCAGCCCAAAATTTATGTTGCAAAGTGAAACATTTCTTGCCACCGTTGTTAAGCGAATCACTGCATCTGTTTATGTTGTTAAGCGAATCTGGTTTCCCCGTGGACTTTGCTTGTCACGAAAGGGGAGCACGTGGTCAAAGGGGATCAAATATGAGTCAATTGCTCAGCATCTGAATTTTGATCGCGTGGCAACCGTCGTAAAGTGTGAAAAACGATCACCCTAAATAACTTTTTTCAGGGCTGTTGTAACGTTGAACGGTCACTAAATGCACCGTCGTAAGTCGATCACCAATATATCTCAGCTGAAACTTCTAGATATATAAATGAGAACAGGAGAGGTAGACCTCCACTTATGACCAAAATTGAGCCTGAAATTTATGTTGCTCAGTGAGAAATTTGTTAAGTTTTGCCCCCTTTTACGACCTTACTGACTGCAGCTGTTAAGTGAACCACTGCAGTTGTTAAGTTAGTCACTCTGTTGTTAAGTGAATCTGTCTTCCCCGTTGACTTTGCTTTTCCCGGGACACAGCGACTGTCATAAATACGAGTCAGTACGCTAAGAATGTTGGTCACATGACTATGGGGATGCCGCAGCGGTCATAGGTGTGAAAAATGGTCGTAAGTCACATTTTTAAGTGCCGTTGTAACTTCAAACTATCACTAAATGAACTGTTGTTAAGTCGAGGTACTACCTGTAATTGCAAAATATTTTTATCAACACAGTTCTGCAAATTCACAGCCCAAGAGACAGGCCAAAATATATCAACGTTAAATTTCTACAGGATTTTTTTGTTTATTTTTTAAATCAGGATTGATAATCTGTCTCTGATTAAAGTTTGGAGCAGTTCTTCCCAAGATTAATAAGGTCCATTAATTCAGCTAAAGCCAATTAATTTAATGGAGATGAATTAATTCAATTAAGATCCATTAATTCAGTTAATTAAGATCCATTAATTCAGTTAATTAAGATCAATTAAAACTGCATTTTGCATGATCTGCAGATTGAAAAATAGGCGAGTGATTGAAATTTGCTTCAAAATGAGTTGAAACGGCATTTGCCCCTGATAATATATATATATATTAGCTCCTATGCTAATATTGCAAGGAGGTGAGGAATGTTTTACCTGCATGGGGAATATATATATATATATATATATATACACCCCCCATGCAGGTAAAACATTCCTCACCTCCTTGCAATATTAGCATAGGAGCTTTTTAAGAAACTCAAGTGCGGGACCACACCCAAAATAAGATTTATCCAAATAAATCCCTTTAATTAGAGCTTCTGTGAACTTGTTGCTGGGTAGGCGACATTATTCATGGCACGGATAAAATGCCTTTTAAAATGCTTTTTTAAAATGGATTATTTTAAAAATAACGCTTTTGTTTAAAAATTCAACGCGTGCTCTTCCTTCAGTAATTCATTTTCTCCTTCCTGGCTTCACAGGGTCAGCTGAGCCTAAAGCTTTCTCTGATTTTCAGCTGCATTTGTATAACACGGTTATTGTAGTGATTGCATCCTAATTGCACTACCACATCAGGTGGTGACTCTGTATACAGTATTACATAAATAATGCATTACTTTTATACAGTGTGCAAAACTACAGGGAGACCTTGACTTATCATAGTTTGTTTAGTGACCGGTCTGAAGTTGCAACGGCACTGAAAAAAGTGACTTTTTCCCACTTAACAACCGTGGTCCCACAATCAAAATTCAGAGGGCAACTGGCATGTACTTAGGACTGTTGCAATGTCCCAAGATCCCTTTTGCAACCTTCTTGACCAGCCAAATTCACTTAACAACCAGGTTACTAACTTAACTCTAATGATTCACTTAACAACCGTGGCAAGAGAGGTGGTAAAACGGGACAAAACTCACTTAACTATTGTCTCACTTAGCAACATAGATGTTGTGGTCATAAGTTGAGTACTACATGGACAAACTAATCAAGGGTTTGTCCAAAATACTAAGCTATAAAAGTAAACAGGTTTGAACCCTGTGAGTTCTTCAAGGGACTCAGGTCAGTGTGTTGTGTGAATGGAACCACTGCATACCCCACTCTTAAAAAAGCTTTCAAGAAGAGACTGGGCTGTCATCTGTCAGAAATGGTGGGGGGGTCTCCTGCTTGGGTGGGGGTTGGACTAGATGACCTCCAAGGTCCCTTCCAACTTTGTTAATCTGTATCTGTATTATTAGTGCCTTGGTGGCGCAGCGGACTAAAGTGCTGTTAAGTAGCACGTAGCTGCCAGCTGCCTGCAATTACTGCAAGTTCGAATCTCACCAGGCTCAAGGTTGACTCAGCCTTCCATCCTTCCGAGGTAGGTAAAATGAGGACCCGGATAGTGTGGGCAATAAGCTGACTTTGTATAAAAAAGAACACCGCTTGGGGGGCCCCCAAAAGCCCTACTAAGCAGGTATCTACAAAAGTATAAAGGCTATTGCTTAACGCATTGTAAGCCTCCCTGAGTCTCCGGAGAAGGGCGGCATCTAAATCGAACCAATAAATAAACAAATTAGAGGGAGCCAGCAATTGTAGTGTTATCGTTACAGGTAGTCCTTGACTAACCACCATTTGTTTAGTGACTGTTCAAAATTACCATGGCACTGAAAAAAACTTAATTTACAACCGGTCCTCGCACTTACGACTGTTGCTGCGTCCTCGCGATCCCACGATCAAAATTCGGACGCTTGGCAATCTGAGCCATTATATCCATGACCGCTGCAGCATTCCGGGGTCCTTGAGATCATCATTTCTGACCTTCCCAGCCGGCTTCTGACAAGCCAAACCAAGGGCGGGAAGTCGGATTCAATGAACGACCGCGTGCTTCCGTTCGTAACTAAAGTGATTTGCTTAACAACCGTGACGAACAGGTCGTAGAATTGGGCTTCATGACTCATTGAACAAACACCTGTTTTGTCGAGCAGTGGAAATTCTGGTCCCCATCGAGTTGAGAATGGTTCTAAAGCGCTGGGTGTCGCCTTTGGTGAGACCGGGGAGTGGTGGTGGATGAGAAAGAAAGAAAGAAAGAAAGAAAGAAAGAAAGAAAGAAAGAAAGAAAGAAAGAAAGAAAGAAAGAAAGAAAGAAAGAAAGAAAGAAAAAAAAGTAGTCGTAAGTCGAGGACTGCCTGCATTGAAAATCAGGGATCTGGGATCCTTTTCTGCGCGGTGGGTAGAAGCCGAGGGTCATTCCTGCTCAAGGAGCTGAAAATGCAAAGGTGGATCTCCTACAGATTCTGGGAGTTGAAGTCCACACATCTTAAGGCTGAAACCCAATCCTGGCAGGGGAACCGGTTGGTAAACTGTGCCAAGAATTCCTCCCGGTTGAGCAGAACCCAATCCTTGCCTTGCGTGATCGAGGCCTGGCTGAGCCTGTGCCAGGAACGGCTGTGCCCGCGGGCAACTGATGGGCATGGGCACATTTCACTCCCACCTCCGTTACCGGCTGGGAAAGGTGGAGACTTTGAGTTGCAAAGAAAAAACTTGCAAAGGCCCCAGAGGTCTCCTCACCTCTCCTCTAGGAATCCGGAGTGGCCCACTGAGGGGCTCTCTATCACCTTAAGGACTAGAACCTTGGGTTGTTGTGTTTTTTTTCCCCATAGCAACCAGCAAAGCTGTGGTTCCCAAAGCTGCAGGTGGCTCTGATTGGAGCAAGGCAGTGGGGAGGTGGCCTTCTCCTGGATGGGGAGCAGGTTCACCAAGCCAGGCAGGACAGGACAGGCAAGGCCGCCCAGGGCAGCGGCCGAGCAGCTGCGGGCAGGAAAACGGGTTGGTTCACCGCAGTTTCCACCGTGGCTTCTGTGCTTCCAGCATCTCCCAGGGGAGAAAAGAGAGCAGAAGGCAGGACTCTAGCTTTTGGAAACCCCCAGATCCTAGTGGTTAGAGCAGGGTTTCTAAATCTCATGAGTTTGGAGATGATGGACTTCAGTTCCCAGAATTCCCCAGCCAGCAAGCTTCAAGATGGGTGGACTTCAACTCCCAGAATCCCCCAGCCAGCCATGCTTTAAGATGGGTGGACTTCAACTCCCAGAATTTCCCAGCCAGCATGCTTTAAGATGGGTGGACTTCAACTCCCAGAATCCCCCAGCCAGCATGCTTTAAGATGGGTGGACTTCAACTCCCAGAATCCCCCAGCCAGCATGCTTTAAGATGGGTGGACTTCAACTCCCAGAATTCCCCAGCCAGCATGAATGTTAGTCCACCCATTTTAAAGCTGCCAGGTTCAGAAAAACTTCTTGTTCTGCAGCTTAGATGTAGCTAAGGATTGGAAGGGATTCGGGAGGGGAGGCCACCAGGCGATCACCTGGATCTGGGTATTTCCACAGAGTGAAAACAAACCAGCCCAGAAGAAAATGACGGGCAAATCCGTTCCATATGACTTCCAAGAAAACCAGGGCTTGGCTAGTCCTGAAGAACCGAGTCTTGCGTTTGTGTTCAGCCACAACATCCAATAACCAGGTTAACTTTATGACATCAAACAGGCGATGTAAAAATTAGGAGAAAACCCCTTATTTTAGCCGGGCCTGACCGTTTCCTTTATGTGGGTGCAGATTTCACTCTCTTCTAGCTACCCCTGAATCACCCAAAAAGGGCTGCAGGGAAAAAACAAAAAAAAAACCTAACCAAATTTAAAACGAATCAAGCTTGACACGCAAAACCGCTGGGCTTTTTAACGCATCCGGTTCAGCAGGTTTTCCGCTGGTGCCGTTGTGGCGAAGGACTCCGTAAAACGAGTTTCTTTTCTTTCTTTCTCCCAAGCCTCCCCGTTGGTTTCCCGGGTAAAACAGCTGAGTTTGCGTCGTGACGACTTCGAGATCCTGAAGGTGATCGGGAGAGGAGCCTTTGGGGAGGTGAGTCCCCCGAAGGATTTAAAGCCACAGCTGACTCAGGAGGCACTTTTGGGGTACCCCGAGCCCCGTCAGAAGAGCCCCGCATTCACACAACAGCCTGACTTGCATTACGGGAAGTCCTCGACTTACAGTTGTCTGTTAATGACCGTTCAAAGTTGCTACGGCACTGATAAAAGTGACTTAAAAGATGATCCTCGCACTTACGACTGCCACAGTCACAGACCCCCCCCCCATGGACACATGATCAAAATTTGGGCACTGGACAACTGGCCTATTATTTATGACATTTGAATTATCCTGAATTCATTAGATCGCCATTTATGGCCTTCCCAGCCGGCTTCCGACAAGCAAAGTGACGGGCGGAAGCTGGATTCACTTAACGACTGAATGTTTGCTTAGCAACTAGGGGGAAAAAAATCATAATATCAGGCCCGATTCATTTAACCATCTTGCTTAGCAACATTATTTTTTTTTGTCTTATAATGAGCCCATAATCCCTTGTATCGGGGTGGAGTCAGGGCAACTCAATGGAGCTGAGTGTTTACTGGCCGGATGTCCTTCCTGTCACCAATGCGGAGTTCGCAACAGATATATTCTCATTGTGCCGAGAGAGAGAGAGAGAGAGAGGGAGAGGGAGAGGGAAAGGGAGAGAGAGAGGGAGGGAGAGAGATCTGCCTGATTCACTTCTTGCTTAGCAACAAAAATACCGGCAAAAATGGATGTTCTATGTTGAGAACTCCCTTTACTGCATAAATTCATTTTTCATTTCTGGTCTTGGACTGGGCATTACATCTGGCCGGGTTCACACAATGCCCTAAGCAGACCAAGCTTCCCACTGGGGTGTTTGCAGAGGGGCAGAATCTGCATCCACCGAAGCAAAACGCCTAGGTTGCATCAACAGAGGGACAGTATCAGAATAACAGCGTCGGAAGGGATCTCGGAGGTCTTCTAGTCCAACCCGCTGCTCAGGCAGGAGACCCTTTGCCATTCCAGAAAAACAGCTGTCCAGTCTCTTCTTGAAAACCTCCAGTGATGGAGCACCCACGGCTTCTGAAGATAAGTCATCCCAGTGGATAATTGTTCACTGGTTAATTGTTAATTATATCAGGATCACATTAAGTGCAGGTACCATTTTATACCAAACTGGTCAGACCATACTCCATCCAGTTTTTGGTCGCCACGATGTAAAAACGATTTGGAGACTCTAAGAAAAAGTGCAGAGAAGAGCAACCAGGATGATGAGGGGACTGGAGGATAAAACATATGATGAACGGTTGCAGGAACTGGGCCTGGCTAGTCTAGTGAAGAGAAGGACCAGGGGAGACAGGAGAGCATCTTCCAGTATTTGAGGGGCTGCCCCAGAGAGGAGGAAGGGGGTCAAGCTATTCTCCAAAGCACCCGAAGGCCAGACAAGGAATAATGGATGGAAACTGACCAAGGAGAGATTCAACCTGGAAATAAGGAGGAATTTCCTGACAGTGAGAACAATTAATCAGTGGAACAGCTTGCCACCAGAAGTTGTGAGTGCACCAACACTGGAGGTCTTCAAGACAACCATTTGTCTGGAATGATATTATATAGGGTCTCCCACTTGAGCAGGGGGTTGACCCCCCAAGGTCCCTTCCAGCTCAGTTATTCTATGATTCTTATTCTAAAGGCTCCCCGCCCCTACCCCAATCTCTGTCCTGCTCTCTCCTCCCAGGTGGCCGTCGTGCGAATGAAGCAGACGGAGAAAATCTACGCCATGAAGATCCTGCACAAGTGGGAAATGCTGAAGAGAACCGAGGTGACTATTCCCAGGCCCTGGGATCCATCTGCCAAAGTCTCAGCAAGTTAGGATTAGATCTCGGATGGGAGACCACTAAGAGATCACCAAGCTAGCCCAGGAAAGCAGCTGGAGAAAGGCGGCCTTAAACCATTTTCGTGCCGTTGTCAAGAAAATGACAGATATGGAATTTGGCCATTTGGGGAATCTTTAGCTACGCTCTAATTTTCATTGATTCCTTCATTTCGTAAATCCAGAAAGTTTCTTAGCCATCAAGTGGGATGTAGGAAGATGGGAAAAAGTGGCCCTCAACCCCGCCATTGCATACACACACACACAAAGCTCTTATTCAAATTCAAATTAAATTATTGTCATTTCTTTCTTGGTTGTGAGCCTTGCGGAATTGTGGAGAGTCGGTGGCGTATAAATGGAATAAATTGTGATTATTGTGGGTAGTGAAGAGTTAGATTCACAATCTAAGATGGGTGAGAAAACATAATAATTCAAAGCCCTAACCAAGGATCTAAGAATTATTTTTATAATTAGGATTTATTAAGGGCGATTTCATTAGTTTATTAAGGCGATTCATTAAATGGCTTTCATATTAATATTTTACGTTTTATAGTTCTTGTGACCTTCCCAGCCAGTTTCGGACAAGCAAAGTCAAAGGGGAAGCCGACAGGAAAGATTGCAAGTCGTGGTCATGGGATGTCCCGCTTAATGGCTGTACCACTTAATGACCGCGCCACTTAATGACAAATAGTCCTCGACATACGACCACATTGACTTACAACCAAAATGCCGGTCCCAATTGTAGGCATAAGTCGAGGACCATCTGTACTTTTTCTGCGCCAGATAGCAGAGCTGTCAGGTGTGCTAAGCTTTGTGCTAAGATTCGCACCCAGTGTCACCTTCTGTCTCCTTTCAGACGGCTTGTTTTCGAGAGGAACGGGACGTCCTCGTGCATGGGGATCAGCAGTGGATTACCACGTTGCATTACGCCTTCCAGGACGAGCACTACCTGGTGAGCCGAGACACGTTTTCGAATCCAGGAAATTTTGAACAGGGTTTCCTCTCGGATGTCAGTCTGTTGGGAACTGGCAATGGTGGTTTCCGTCTCTTGGGTGGAGCATGGGGACGAAGCGAAGAGAGAAAAGGGTTTTGTGCAATGGCTGCTGGCCCCATTTTTGCCTCCGAATCGGTTGCTAGCTTTGCAAACCTGATTTCCTCCATTCACATGACATGCTAAACCCAGCCAGGGTACCAAGTCACAGGTTTTGTGTGCGTGTTGTGTGAATCGAGAAAATCGGGCGCCAACAGAGGTAGAAGCTTGTAAAATTTTGAACCTGCTTTGGAAGGAGGGAGGGAGCTATAATTGTGGCAATAGATTTGTTAAGGTTCCACTAGGAGGGTTTATAAGGATTTTGGGGTTGGTTTTTTTTGTCTTTTCTAATTCACATTTTTTAATGTTCTTGTCCAGTTTTGTTTTGTCTTTGTTAAATGTTTTTTTTTTCTTTCTTTGGGGTTTTGCATTTTAATCTTTTTTGAATCAAATAAAAAATTAGAGGGTGGGGGGAAGGTGCACTCAGCCAGTTGCTTGCATTTTGCAAGCATGGAGATTTAGCTATGAGGTTACGTGTGAATGAGGGGGTGTGACGCGTGTCTGCACGTGACGGAATATGAGGGTGAATGTTTTCTCTTCCGTGGTATGGTCCTCTCTGAAGCCCGACCCTACCAATCAGGAGCATCTGTGGTGCTGGGTTCAGATGTTGCTAAAAGGGATGGAAAAACTGTCATTTCTTTGCAAAATTTCAGAAAATTCACCTGTCACCTCTCTGCCTACCGATCGTGACTGCCCAATGCTAGCATTCAGTTTTCTAAAAAAAAAAAGGAGGTGCTGGCTTTTCTCGATGCCCTGCTCCCCAAAATGTGATCTGTCTTTGCAAGAACGTAGTGTCAGTAAATCTAGTAATGATTGAATGCCACCTGACTCAGCAAAATGGATTCGTATCATCTTTCCTCACAGTGGACTAGAAACCTGAAAAGGCCACTAGCTTTTGGTTTCTAAATGCAGCCTGAGGTAACAAGGTAAACCTGAGGTAAAAACAAGAGATTGGCAGTGGCTGATTTTCCTCACCAGTTTTTCCTCAATCTGGGCAGCTATAAAAATGGGTGGACTTCAACTCCCAGAATTCCCCAGCCAGCTGTGCTGATGGATGGACTTCAACTCCCAGAATTCTGCGCTGTCCTGGCTGGGGAATTCTGGGAGTTGAAGTCCACCCGTCTTAAAGCTACCCAGATTGAGAGCACAATTCCACACTCTGAGCCGTGTGCAAATATTGTCCCACAATTCTGTGGGCTGAGGATGCTGGGCTTTGCCGTCTCCACCAAGTGAGATTTTGCACCCAAAACATTCTCAGAAGCCGCCATCATCTGAAATTCAGGGAGGAAACGGGTTATGGGCCACTCAGGTGTGTTCACTTCACCTTCCCCAACCGCAGAGAAGGTGTGAACTTCAGCTCCCAGAATTCTCAGCAAACAACCTCACTGCCGGGGGGAATTCTGGGAGTCGAAGTCCCCACCTGCAGAACGCAGGTTGGGAAGGGATGCTAGAGGTTGGCGGTTCTTTTGACAGTACCTGGTGATGGATTATTACGCCGGAGGAGACCTACTCACCCTGCTGAGCAAGTTTGAGGATCGGCTGCCGGAAGACTTGGCCTGCTTCTACCTGGCCGAGATGGTCCTGGCCATCCATTCCCTCCATCAGCTCCAGTATGTGCACAGGTACGTCTCTTGCTTTTTCCTTCTGTTAACGTTGGCCGTGGACTGGGGGGGTCCCTGGGGTGGGTCAGAAAGCCACAAAGCGACTTATGATGGCACAATTGCACTTTGTGGGTTGTCCTTGACTTACAATAATTATTATTATTATACATTATTATACAATTATTATACAATATTATACAATTATTATACAATAGTTATTATTATTATTATTATTTTGAGCCACAGTGGTGCAGTGGTTAGACTGCGGTACTGCAGGCTACTTCTGCTGACTGCCGGCTGACTGCAGTTTGGTAGTTCAAATCTCACCAGCCTCAAGGTTGACTCAACCTTCCTGTTCTGACCCAGCCTCAGAAGAAACAAGAAACAGACTCCTTGTCATGAAAAATCCCTCTTTATTTACCTCTTGTGAATTAATGGTGTTCACCCACCGAAAAGTCCAGGCAAGAGTCCTTCAAGGAGTTAACTGCAGCAACAGACCTTATCAGTTCCTTGCGATAATTGCAAGGATTTTACCGACCTGGGAAGGATGGAAGGTTGAGTCAACCTTGAGCCGGTGAGGATCGAACTCCTGGCAGTCGGCAGAGTCAACCTGCAATACTGAACTCTAACCACTGCACTACCGTGGCTCTAAAAGTCAACCCTCCCCATGTTTGAGGGGTTGGCCACCTGGTCCTTCCCTGAGAGCCCCACAGTCCCCCAACCTTTCTGCTTTTCTGAGGTCCCACCACTTACCAATGGGGGCCCTTCCCTCCACAGGGACATCAAGCCGGACAATATTCTGATTGACACCAGTGGGCACATCCGCCTGGCGGACTTTGGGTCCTGCCTTCGCCTGGCTCCGGACGGCACGGTGAGCTTGGCCTGGGGTCTGATGGGGATCGGCGTCCAGGACTGATTGGGGAAGGCTGGCCTGGATGGTGTAGACAGGCCCCCCCCGGCAGTGAACTAGGGTCTTTGCCAGTATATCGTAGGCACCAGCTTTGGTGGGAACCAGTTCATTTCCTGAAGATGGTCTGTTTAGTTGCACATGGCACGTTTTGTTAAACTAAGACCAAGTTTAGAGCGCACCCAAGTTTAGAATTAAGCCAGGTTTAGAGCTAAACCAGGTTTAGAGTTAAGCCAGGTTTAGATTTTTTAGATTTTAGATTTTTAAATTTTATTACATTTCTATACCACCCTTCTCCCAAAGGACTCAGGGCGGTGTACAGCCATATTAAAACAAACCCATCACAAAAATTAAAAACCGTTAAAATAAATTAAAGCAATTTGGCCGTTATTAAAACCCTTAGCTAAAACCCCTTTAAAACCAATTAAAACCCATTAAAATTAATTTATTTGGTCAGGCCGGCTTGATTGAACAATAGAGTCTTCAGAGCACGACGGAAGGTGCGGAGGTCGGGGATCCTTCTTATATCCGGGGCAGCTCATCCCATAGGACAGGAGCCCCCACAGAGAAGGCTCTCCCCCTGGGGGTCGCCAGCCGACATTGCTTGGCCGATGGCACCCTGAGGAGGCCCTCTCTGTGAGAGCGTATCGGACGGTGGGAGGCATTCGGTGGTAGAAGGCGGTCCTGTAGGTATCCTGGTCCTAAGCCATGGAGCACTTTGAAGATGGTGACTAGCACCTTGAAACGCACCCGGAAGACCATTGGGAACCAGTGCAGCTCACGCAAGAGAGGTGTTACCCGGGAGCGACGAGTCGCTTCCCTAACCACTCGCGCGGCTACATTCTGGACCAGTTGGAGCCTCCGGGTGCTCCTCAAGGGGAGCTCCATGTAGAGAGCGTTACAGTAGTCCAGACGGGAAGTGAGAAGGGCATGAGTGACCATGCGTAAGGCATCCCGATCCAGAAAGAGACGCAACTGGGAAATCAGGCGAACCTGATAGAAAGCCCCCCTGGCCACGGCCGTCATATGATTGTCTAAAGACAGCCACATATCCAGGAGGATGCCCAGGTTGCGAACCCTCTCTGAGGGGGACAAGATCTCCTCCCCAATAGCCAGCGATGGTATCAGTTGGCTATATCAGGGCGCCAGAAACCACAGCCACTCGGTCTTGGAGGGGTTGAGTCTGAGCCTGTTCCTTCCCATCCAGATCCGCACGGCCTCCAGGCAACGGGATATCATGTCAAGGGCATCATTGGGGTGGTCTGGGGTAGAAATGTACAGCTGTGTGTAATCTGCATACAGTTGACACTTCACCCCAAAACCACGGATGATCTCGCCCAGCGGCTTCACATAAATGTTGAACAGGAGGGGCAAGAGGACTGACCCCTGCGGCACCCCACAAGTAAGGTGCCTCGAGGTCGACCTCTGCCCCCCTGCCAACACAAACTGTGAACGGTCAGAGAGGAAGGAGGAGAACCACCAAAGCACGGTGCCTCCCACTCCCAGTCCCCCCAACCGATGCAGCATGATACCATGATCGATGGTATCAAAAGCCGCTGAGAGATCGAGGAGGACCAGGACTGAGGAACAATCCCAACGAGCCCTCCAAAGATCATCAACCAATGCAATCAATGCCGTTTCCGTGCCATATCCCGCCCTGAAGCCCAACTGGCATGGATCTAGATAGATGGCTTCATCCAGGAACCGAGGAAGCTGTCTCGCCACCACACTCTCAACAACCTTCGCCACAAAGCGAAGGTTGGAGACCGGACGGTAATTAGCTAATACAGCCGGGTCCAGGGAAGGCTTCTTGAGGAGGGGCCTCACCACCGCCTCTTTCAAGGCAGCGGGAAAGGCACCCTCACTCAGAGAAGCAGTTATAATCCCCTGGAGCCAGCCTCGTGTAACTTCCCGGGAGGCCAGCACCAACCAGGAGGGACACGGGTCCAATAAACATGTGGTAGCGTTAAGCCTCCCCAAAATCCTGTCCACGTCCTCGGAAGCTACAGGGTCAAACTCCTCCCAGATAACACTCTCAAGATCCACCCTATCATCCCATCCGAGGCTACCCAATCGGAGTCCAGGCCATCCTGAATCTGAGCAATTTTATCATGCAGATATTGCACAAAATTCTCAACTCTACCCTTAGAGTTAAGCCAGGTTCAGAATTAAGCCAGGTTTAGAGCCAAGCCAAGTTTAGAGCTAAACTGGGCTTAGAGCTAAACCAGGTTTAGAGGCTAAGACAGTGTTAGAGTTAAACCAGGTTCAGAGTTAAGCCGATTCTGAAAACTAGCCAAAAACACTCTCTAACAGTAGGGGTCTACTGTAGAAGGAGAGACACAACACGGAGTGTGCTTGTGTGTCAAATGATACCACGTGATGATGTCATCAAGCCTTACGTAGACTTCCACAGAGGGCATCAGGTATGCTGCAAATAAATAAGCATTTGTATAAAGCAGGGGTGGGCAAATGTGGCTCTTTTACAACCTGTGGACTTCAACTCCCAGAATTCCTGAGACAGCTGAGAATTCTGGGAGTTGAAGTCCACAGGTTGTAAAAGAGCCACATTTGCCCACCCCAGTATAAAGCAACATTTTTTTCAACCTTGGCACCTTTAAGATACGTGGACCTCAACTCCCAGAATCCCATGCTGGCTGGGGAATTCTGGGAGTTGAAGTCCACCCTTCCAAAAGTTGCCGAGTTTGAAAAACACGGATCTAAAAGGCTCTTTAGATCTTAATCCAAAGGATAAATTTGAAAGGTGGCAGAATCTGAACTCGGGCTCTGTTTTCTTTCCTCCCCCCTCCCCCTCCCTCTCCCCCCTTGATGTAAAAAAGATGTGGAGACTCTGGAAAGAGTGCAGAGAAGAGCAACAAAGATGATTAGGGAGCTGGAGGTCAAAACATATGAAGAAAAATTGCAGGAACTGGGTAGGCCTAGTTTAATGAAAAGAAGGACCAGGGGAGACATGAGAGCAGTCTTCCAGTATCTCAGGGGCTGCCCCAAAGAAGAGGGAGTCAAGCTATTCTCCAAAGCACCTGAGGGTAGAAGAAGAAGCAATGGGTGGAAACTAATCAAGGAGAGAAGCAATTTAGAACTAAGGAGAAAATTTCCTGATAGTTAGAACAATTAACCTGTAGAACAACTTGCCTCCAGAAATTGTAAATGCTCCAACACTGGAAGTTTTAAAGAAGATGTTGGGTAACTATTTGTCTGAAGCAATATAGAGATTCCTGCATAAGAAGAGGGTTGGACTAGAAGACCTCCAAGGTCCCTTCCAACTCTGTGATTCTATTCTATACTGCTCTCCCAGGTGGAGTCCTCGGTGGCGGTGGGCACCCCCGATTATATCTCCCCAGAGATTCTGCAAGCCATGGAGGACCGAAAGGGCAAATACGGCCCCGAGTGTGACTGGTGGTCTCTGGGGGTCTGCATGTACGAGCTGCTTTTCGGGGAAACCCCTTTCTACGCCGAATCCCTGGTGGAGACGTACGGCAAGATCATGAACCACGAGGTGAGTCACGCGGGCACCGTAGGTGAGGAAGGCCGCAGGAGGCAAATGAAGGCAGTTTATCTTAGAGAGAATGGTTTTTTAAAAACGTTTTACAGGTGGTCCTCGACTTACGACCACAATGGAGCCAGTGGTGGGATTCAAATAATTTAACAATAATTTAACAACCAGTTCTCTGCCCTAATGGGCGTGGCCATGGTGGTGTGACAGGCAGCCCTCGGCCTCCTGCACCCCCCTGGGAGCAAAAACTGGCCATGGGGGGGGACACGCCGTCCCCCCTCCCACATGCCCCATTTTGGGCCTAGTAGGCCTTCCTGACTCCATTTTACCTGGGAGCCAAAATGGGGCTCGTGGGGAGTCCTAGAAGGGGCAGGGCGGGGCCAGCCAGAAATTTAACTACCGATTCACCCGAGCCGGCTGAATCCCATCACTGGGATCCCAGTGAAAATCACTGACAGCTAAGCGAGACAATTGTGAAGCGATTGTGCCCCCATTTTTACGACCTTCCTTGCCACTGTTGTTAAGTGAAGCGCTGCTGCTGTTAAGTTAGTAACACGGTTGCTAAGCGAATCTGGCTTCCCCCACTGACTTGGCTTGTCAGAAAGGTCGCAAAAGAGGATCAACACGATCCCAGGACACTGCGACTGTCGTAAAATACGAGTCAGTTGCCGAGACTCTGAATTTTGATCACACATGCCATAAGGGATGCTGCAACAGTCGTAAGTTTGAAAAACAGTTATGAGTCATTTTTTTTTTCAGTGCCTTCAAACGGTCACCAAATGAACCGTTGTAAGTCGAGGCTACCTGTATTTACTTGTTTGCAAGTGCTTATGCAGACATGATTGCCAAACACTGGTTCGCAATTGGTTTCAAGGAACAGCCAACACCCCAGAAGATAAACTCAGGATCCCAAAAGATCTTGACAGACTTGAAATGTCCACAAAAAAAAAAAAAAAATTGGTTGCAGAACCGGTGCCAATTTTTTGGAGATGTCTATAACAATTATTGGAAAAATACTCCAATTTAAAAAAATATTGGAAAAATTTACTCACATTTTTATCGGCTTTCCACGCATGTCAATTAGGGAGTGACCCTAACCGTTTGAGATCATGTATTTCATAACAGGGATGTTATTATTCACGATTGATGTCAGTATTATTTTTAATTTATTGTATGTCTATTGCTGGTCGAGGACCGTAATAAAGTTTTTATTCTTATGACAGACTTGAACAATGGGGCCTTATCCAACAAAATGAAATTTAATGGGGAGAAAAGCAAATTTTCTACATTTAGGCAGGGAAAAAAAACAAAGGTACTAAGTACAGATTAGGCGAGACCTGGCTCTGAAACAGTGAGAGGGACCTTGGAGTCAGACAGACAGATTATAACAGATTAACAGAGTCGGAAAGGGACCTTGTAGGTCATCTAGTCCAACCCCCCACCCGAGCAGGAAATCCTACACCATTTCTGACAGGTGGCAGTCCAATGTCTTCTTGGAAAGCCTCCAGTGATGAAGCTCCCACAACTTCTGAGGCAAATTCTGTTCTTTACAGATTAACAGAGTCGGAAAGGGACCTTGTAGGTCATCTAGTCCAACCCCTCTTCCAAGCAGGAGACCCTACACCATTTCTGACAGGTGGCAGTCCAGTGTCTTCTTGGAAAGCCTCCAGGGATGAGACTCCCACAACATGAGCCCTTAAACATGAGCCAGCCGTGTGCAGCAGCAGCTAAAAAAACCTAATACAATCCTTGGTTGTATAAATAGAGGCATAGAATCACGTGAAGTATTAGTATAAAATTTTATAAAACCTTGGTATGGCCACATCTGAAATTCTGCATCTAGTTTTGGTCCCCGCATTACAAAAAAGAGGTTGGGATTTTGGAAAAAGTGCAGAGAAAGGCAACTAAGAGGATTAAAAGGCCCGGAGATTAAAATATAGGAAGAACGGCTGCAGGATTTGGGTCTGGCTAGTCTAAAGAAAAGAAGAATTAGGGGTGACATGATAGCAGTCTTCCCGTATTGGAGGGGCTTCCCCCAAAGAGGAGGAGGGGGTCAAATTATTCTCCAAAGCACCAGAAGGCAGGACAAGAAACAATAGAGGGAAACCAATCAAGGAGAGAAGCAACCTGGAATTCAGGAGAAACTTCCTAACAGTGAGAAAAATTAACCAGTGGAACTGCTTGCCACCAGAAGTTGTGAGTGTTCCATCCCTGGAGGTTTTTAAGAAGAGACTGGACAGCCACTTGTCTGAAATGCTATAGGATCTCCTGCTTGAGCAGGGGGCTGGACTAGAAGACCTCCAAGGTCCCTTCGTACATCTTCCATTTGTCGGGCTCAGCAGCTAGATTTTGCACTCGTTCAGTAGCTGATGGACCGCACTTTTTTGCCTTGGGCAAAAATTCAGGCAACTCCCTCCCTGAGTCAAATTGGCTGCCAGCCTTGGGTGTGAGCGCTCCCACTTCCCTTCCCAACACAGCTTGGCTCGCTTTTCACGAGTCACCTCAAATGATCCCACTGCACGGCCTTTGTCCTGCGTCCAGTAGTGGCACAAACGTATGGCCACCATTCAGCCCAAAATGTCCGTTGCTGAGCGAGACAGCTGTGAAGTGAAGTTTTTGCCCCGTTTTACGACCTTCCTTGCTCAGCTGTTCAGTGAATCACTGCCGTTGTTACTTTGGTAACAAGGTCGTTAAGTGAGTCCAGCTACCCCCGTGGTTTTGCTGGCCAGAAGGTCACAAAAGGGGATTCCGTGACCCCAGGAGGACCACAGCAACTGTCATAACTATGATTCAGTTGCCAAGCATCTGAATTGCAATCACATGACCCATGGAGATGCTGCAACGGTCGTAAGTGTGAAAAACGTTCATAAATTCAGTTTTTTTAAGGCTGTTGCAACTTTGAATGGTCACTAAACGAATGATTGTAAGTCGAGGACTAACTGTAGTCCGTTCTTGGAGGGTGAGCTTGCCATTTTAATTCTATTAATGCAGGGTGAATTCTAGCAGGTGTGCAACTTTCCTCTTGCCCTTGCTTAAACCCCGATCTGTTGCTTTTACGATCTCGATTACTTTGCTTAAACCCCAATCTGTTGCTTTCACGATCTCGGTTACCTTGCTTAAACCCCGATCTGTTGCTTTCACGATCTCGGCTACCTTGCTTAAACCCCGATCTGTTGCTTTCATGATCTCGGCTACCTTGCTTAAACCCCGATCTGTTGCTTTCATGATCTCGGTTACCTTGCTTAAATCCCGATCTGTTGCTTTCACGATCTCGGTTATCTTGCTTAAACCCCAATCTGTTGCTTTCACGATCTCGATTACCTTGCTTAAACCCCGATCTGTTGCTTTCACGATCTCGACTACCTTGCTTAAACCCCGATCTGTTGCTTTCACGATCTCGTTCACGATCTTGGTTACCTTGCTTAAACCCCGATCTGTTGCTTTCACGATCTCGGCTACCTTGCTTAAACCCCGATCTGTTGCTTTCACGATCTCAATTACCTTGCTTAAACCCCGATCTGTTGCTTTCACGATCTCGGTTACCTTGCTTAAACCCCGATCTGTTGCTTTCACGATCTCGGCTACCTTGCTTAAACCCCGATCTGTTGCTTTCACGATCTCAGTTACCGTGCTTAAACCCTGATCTGTTGCTTTCATGATCCCAATTAGTCCAGGAATTTTGGTTTCTGGAGTCCTTGGTGGAGCACAGCGCCCCCTATCGATACCAGCTGCCCAAGGGTAGCAGATAGACCCCCTGAGATGTCGGAGACCCCGTTGCATCCCCCCTTCTGTTTCCTCTTCCAGGACCACCTGCAGTTCCCCACGGATATCACCGACGTCTCGGAGAGCGCCAAGGACCTGATCCGCGAACTCTTGTGCCGCCAAGAAGTCCGTCTGGGCCAGAAGGGCATCGAGGACTTCACGCGCCACCCCTTCTTCGAGGGCATCGCCTGGGAGGACCTCCGCAAGAGTCCTCCCCCCTTGGTCCCCGAGGTGGCCAGTCCGGCCGACACCTCCAACTTCGATGTCGACGACGACACCCTCAAAGAAGCGGTAACGATCCGTGACGGTGCTTGCGAATGAGTGCGGATGCCAAGGGCCCATGCCAGGCTGCTGGGAGGGGGCGCGTATGAGATGGGCAGGAACCCCAGCAGTTGCCAAGCAGACCCTGACCTCCCTGCCCAAGAAAGGGGTGCGGGTGGCCAAATTTGAGGGCTGATAGAAACCTGAGATGCCACGGCAGGCTGGCAAGCCACGCTTGGTGCCACTGCCTCGGTTGCAGGCTCCACATGTGGTCAGACCTAAACCCAAAGATGCCACTGAAATCCAGTCTAATCCAGTCCTTTATTTGCTTACACTTTAGACTTAAACTCAGAATAACTTTATTATTGTCATTTTGAATGTATGTTAATTGGCATACGTTAAAATGAAATTTCGTCGCATCCAGCTCTCAAACCCAGGTAGTCCTTGACTTATGACTTAGGACATCATCCATGCCACCCCTTTGGGAGTGAATGGGAAAGTAGGGAGTCACCGGGTGGGGAGGGGAGGTTGCTGCTAGAAAAACAAAACATTCACATGGACCCTTCAATAACAAATAGTCCTCCGTTTAGGACCATAATCGAGCCCAGAATTATGCTGGTAAATTATGTTGCTCGCTAAGCGGGATGCCGTGCAGTTAGTCCTCAACGTACGACCACAATTGAGCCCAACATTTCTGTTGCTAAGCAAGACAGTTGTTAAGTGAATTTTGCCCCATTTTACAACCTTTCTTGCCACGGTTGTTAAGTGAATCGCTGCAATTGTTAACGTTAGTAACATAGCAATAGCTCTTAGACTTATATACAGCTTCATAATGCTTTCCAGCCCTCTCTAAGCGGTTTACAGAGTCAGCCTCTTGCCCCCAACTATCTGGGTCCTCATTTTACTGACCTGGGAAGGACAGAAGGCTGAGTCAACCTTGAGCTGGTCAGGATTGAACTGATGGCAGTCAGCAGAATTAGCCTGCAATCCTGCATTCTGACCAGTGCACCACCATAGGATTAGACTAGAACAGAACAGAACAGAACAGAATAGGGAAGAGAAGAGAAGAATGGAATGGAATGGAATAGAATATAGAATATAGAATATAGAATATAGAATATAGAATATAGAAATATAGAATATGAATATAGAATATAGAATATAGAATATAGAATATAGAATATAGAATAGAAATAAAGAATTTACAATTTAGAATAGAATAGAAATATAGAATTTACAATTTAGAATAGAATTCAATAGAATTGAATAGAATAGAATTCAGAATAGAATGGAGTGGAGTAGAATAATAACTTTATTGTCACTTTGAATGTACACTAATTGGCATACATTAAAATGAAATTTCGTTGCATAGAGCACTCAAAGTGTCACCACCTCTAATATACACTACATAAACATGACAAGATGTATAAATAAATACAAAATTATGTATATACCCACATATATTATATGACACAGAGAAACAACACAGTCTAGTTTGGATGTTTACATGTACATGCCGAGAGAAACGAATCTTGTGAGTTTACAAGATCAATGGCATAAGGAGCAAAGCTGTTACAGAATCTGGTAGTCCTGCTAGAAATCCTTCGAAACCTCCTCTCAGAGGGGAGCAACAGAAACAAAACGTGGAGTGGATGTGTGGGGTCTCTAACAATGCTTCGAGCTCTAAGCACATAGCGCTTATAAGTAGTATCTTGAATAACGGGAAGTGAGCTTCATATGATCTTCTCCACTGTCCTCACCACTCTCTGTAGGGACTTTCTATCTGAGGCACTGCAGCCACCAAACCAAACAGGGATGCAGTTTGTTTAAAACGCTCTCCATCGTGCCTCTGTAGAAAGTAAAAAGAACAGAGCTGTCAGGGAAGTAGGCAGAATCCCTTGTCCACAGTGGATGCTTTTTGCTAGAAACTGGAAGTAACCCCCAGTTTCCGACAAAAAAATGTTGCAAATTGTGATGACATGATGGTGGGATGCTGCAAATAGCTATCAACGCCAAAGCCCCAAATGCGATCACATTATTGGGGGAGGCCAGTGGAAGTTCAAATCCGGGTTTAAGAACCCCTGGGGAGGTCCACCGTAACTTTGTAAATCGAGGATTATTGTAGTGGCCCCTGCAAGGAGGCGTAGGATAAAATGGAAGTAGTGGCACGAACACTGTGCAAATACTAGGACATGAGTGCCTCCACCAATGTCGGTTACACCAATACATAAATGCAGGATGATATTATCCTGCGGGGGGCCGTTGTTTAAGCTTCATTCTAGCTGGCTGCACACACCGATGACTTTTTAAGTCATTTTGCAAGGTCAAAAAGCAGGAGCAACTGAATATTTTGAAAAAAAAATGCAGAACATTTATCTCTTAGAGTTTAGGGCAGTGATGGCTAACCTTTTTGCCGTCGTGTGCCAAAAACAGAGGGAGTGTGAGGGGCTCGTGCGCGCGTGTGTCCACACCCATAATTCAATGTGCCCCGGGCCGTTTCCGGCCTCGGGGGGTGGTGGGGAAGGCCGTTTTCACTCTCCCCAGGCTCCTAGAAAGCCTTTGGAGCCTAGGGGGAGGAAAAAACGGGCCTTCCTCACCACCCCCCTGGAGGCCCTCCAGAAGCCGGAAGGCCCGAAAATCAGCTGGCCGGCGAGTACATGCGCACTGCAGCTGTGCTAGGGCAATGCTCGTGTGCCCGCCAATATGGCTCTGCGTGCCACCTGTGGCACCCATGCCATCAGTTCGCCATCACGGGCTTAGGGTTTCCCAACCTTGAGCACTTCAAGGCGCGTGGACTTCAACTCCCAGAATTCCCCAGCCAGCTAAGTCCCGACTAACTAAGCTGGCTGGGGAATTCTGGGAGTTGAAGTCCACCTACCTTAAAGTGCTCAAGGTTGGGAAACCCTATCTTAGAGTCTCCCCCAGATCATTGGGCGGCCATGTTACTGACTGTATGTGTATGTGTGGCTGTGCAACAGGGAAAGGGCTCCTCTGTTTGTTTATTTATTTTTTAATTTTCAAAAAACCTTTATTAAAATTTAAAATATTAAAATGCAAATACATCTGTAACAAAAATAGGTCCATGGTAGTTGCACAATCCAACGTCGTTCTAACAGTACACAAAAACTTAACTCTATTCCTATATTCTCAGATATTCCTTCTTGATCAAATATATGTAAACACAATTGATGTCTTATTTTGATCTATATATTTCCTATTTTTATTTTCTATCCATTGATACCAGTTTTCCCAAGCTGAATAATATTCCAAGTCTTCCTTATTATTTAATGCTATAGTAAGTTTGTCCATTTCTGCACATTCAAAAATTTTCCGGATTTTTACACCATCTGTCGGTGTAGTGGACATTTTCCAGGCTTGTGCGAGTACAATTCTCGCTGCTGTAGTAATATGAATGATCAAATATTTAATCTTTTTAGAGTATTTTTCTTTAATGATCCCCAGAAGAAACAGTTCAGGCTTCAATTCTATTGGGCAATGTGTAATTTCATTTAACAATTTTTGTATTTTAATCAGGGGTAAAATGCTCCCGGTTCGGACCGGATCGCCCAATCCAGTAGCGATGGCTTCGGTTGGTTCGGAGAACCAGTAGCAAAAATCCCTGCCCCACCGTGCCCAGCTGAGCCGCACAATCATCAGAGGCTTTTTTAAAAAAAATTTAAAAGCATTTTTTCTACAACCTCTTCGGCCTAAAGAATGCTTTTAAATTTTTTTTAAAAAGCCTCTGATGATCGCGCGGCTCAGCTGGGATCGTCAGAGGCTTTTAAAAGCATTTTTTCTACAACTTCTTCAGCCGAAGAGGTTGTAGAAAAAATGCTTTTAAAAGCCTCTGACGATCCCAAGTTGGCCACGCCCACCCAGTCACATTAACCCCACCACCACCAAGCCACGCCCACAGAACCGGTAATAACAAATTTTACATTTCACCACTGACACAGACCCTTCAAGGAACCCCCTGCAAGATAGCGACATCCAGCCCTTCATGACCCCTTCTGTCCTTGCTTGCGTATCCAGGAGGGTTGTGGGCATTTGGGGAGGAAAAATGGTCCCTGATCTTCTTCCTCCAATCCTGATTTTTTAGGAGACGCTCCCGCCGATCTCCCACGCCTCATTCTCGGCCCACCACCTCCCCTTCGTCGGATTCACCTACACCTCCGGGATGTGAGTACGGTGGCGTTGCTTTGATTTGCATCTTCGTTCCCGCTCGACTGTTCCTTTCTGGTGCTCTGGGCAGCGTGGCGCCTCCAGCTTCAGGAGCAGTCTATCTCAAAAACTGCTGTCAGCCGGCCAATAGGGAGCTGCTGCAGCCATCAACTTTCTGCTTGGCGGGGTGATTTGGTCTTTCAATCTGTTGGGAATTTCTGAGGCTTTCCATAATTTTGATTTTTGCAGACAACCGTGCATGTATTAAAAAGAAGTTCAAAGTGTTAGTCGGGGCTGGTGAACATTCTCCCCACTTCATGGAGGGTCTCTGAATTGTGAAGACAGACAATCCTCAATTTACAATGTTCGAAGCTACAACATCACAGAAAAAAGTGACTTATGACCATTTTTCACATTTAACGACCATTTCAGCACCCTGTGGTCACGTGATCAAAATTTGAGTCAGTTTAACAGCTGACTCATGTTTACGATGGTCGCAGTGTCCCGGGGTCCACGGTTGTTAAGTGAAGCCAGGTTCACTTAACAACCGTGTGAGTCAGAGTGATTCACTTAACAACTGTTGTACAAAACTCACTTAGCCACAGAATTTGGGGCTCGATTGTGGTTATACGTTGAGGACTACGTGTATTACAACACAATATTGTGATTCCCCCACCCCCACCCCTTTTTTTTTTTTGCTGGAGTTTGCAAATTGCAGGCACCGGACCGGCTTAGTCTGTTTCCCAGCAAATAAGTTTTACTGAATGAATTCACGGGAAGGTACTGGAAAAGATAATAAAAAACCAGATCTGCCAACATCTAAAAACGAGTGAAGTAATCACTAGCAGCCAGCAGGGGTTTGTTAAAAACAGATCATGCCAAACCAATCTTATTTTATTCTTTGACATAGTGACTGAATTAGTAGACCAGCGAAATACTGTGGACATAATATACTTAGACTTCAGCAAAGGCATTCAACTAAGTAGACCACAATCTACTTCTTGGTAAGCTAGAAAAAAGTGGGATAAAATAGCTTCACCACCAGATGGATTCGTAACTGGCTGACAAACTGTACTCAACGAGTAGTCCTTAATGGGTCTACGTCTACATGGAGGGAAGTAAGCACCTGGGTACCACAAGATTCTGTCTTAGGCCCAGTACTCTTCAATATCTTCATAAACAACTTAGATGAGGGAGTAGAAGGGGAACTCATCAAATTTGTGGATGATACTAAGCTGGCAGGAATAACCAACACCTAGAAAGAGTGCAGAGAAGAGCAACCAGGATGATGAGGGGACTGGAGGCTAAAACATACAAAGAACGGTTGCAGGAACTGAGTTATGTCTAGTCTAGGGAAGAGAAGGACCAGGGGAGACAGGAGAGCATCTTCCAGTATTTGAGGGGCTGCCCCAGAGAGGAGGAAGGGGGCCAAGCTATTTTCCAAAGCACCGGAAGGCCAGACAAGGAAGAATGGATGGAAACTGATCAACAAGAGATTCAACCTAGAAATAAGGAGGAATTTTCTGACAGTGAGAACCATCGACCCATGGAACAGAAGTTGCCTTTGGAAGTTGTGGGAGCTTCATCACTGGAGGCTTTCAAGAAGAGACTGGACTGCCATCGGTCAGAAATGGCGTAGGGTCTCCTGCTTGGGCAGGGGGGGTTGGACTAGATGACCTATAAGGTCCCTTCCAACTCTGTTCATCTGTTAAATTAACGGGAAACCTCAGAGCTGCATTATTTTTTAGGAAACCTTAACTGCAATGAGCAGGACCACGAGTGCTCATGAAGGAGTGTACGCCGTCCCTCCCGAGACCATGGATTTCCCACCCGTGTGCCCCTTCCTGCTTTTCAGAAAGCCCTTTGGTGCAGACTGATTCCTATTGATCCAGAATCGGTTCTGAGCTCCGTGTCCCTGTCCCCCGACAGACCCTTCCCCGAGAGACCTCCGGTGTCCCCCCCTACCAGCTCCAGCATCAGCCGGCTCGAGAAAAGGATCCGTCAGCTGGAACGGGAGAAACTGGAATTGAGTCGGAAACTGCAAGGTAGGTAACTCTGCGGAGAGGAAGAAGGATTCCTTAGAAGCGGTGGCGGAAAAGGGGCCTTCGTGGTCTACTAGTCCAGCCCCCCTTCCCCCAATCAAGCTTTCCTAGCCTTATGGGCTACCTACATTGGAGGCAAGGTAATTTGGGATCAGGTGACGTGAGAATGAGAAAGCTAAGCATAGAAAGAGTGCAGAGTCAGTTTAATCACCCCACCCACTCACAAGAATTTCCCTCGGTTCTTCATTAAATGGATTTACACAACCCACTGAATCAGGTTTGAGCCCAAGATGCAGGAACTGCATTTGCACAACATGTCAAGCTTGATTTATTTTGCCTCGCTTAGCGGGTGGGGCCACCCCACCCCATCGTGTTTGCTTATGGTTCAGGGCATCTTGCCAACCCCGGAATGAATCGAGTGAGTAATGCGATCCAGAAATCCACGGGAGATCTCTTACCCTCTCCTTGCATTCGCCCTGCGCAGATTCTCTGGCGAGATCCCCTTCCAAGACCTCGGCCAAGGACGCGGAGATCCGAAGTCTCCAAAATGAGGTGGCTACTTTGAAGAGGCAATTGACAGGTACTTGTAAAATATTAATTTTGGCAGGGAGTTGTTGTTTCTGGATCGTTTTACTGTCCGGAACAATGAAACGGCAAGCCTTTGATCAACCTTGCCTAGTCTGAGAATTAAAAATGAATTAAAATTCAATTAAAAAGGGATTTGATTAAGTTAGTGGTTGGATGGGAGACCACCAAGAGATCTCAGGCTGAAAAGAGACCTAAAAAGAAAAAAAAAAAAAGGTTAGTTACAAATCACTTCTATATGATTGCCAAGAAAAGTCGCTTTGGTTTCACCAAAAGTCCATTTTTTGGGGGGAATATTTTTTAATTTATTTATAATACAAGTAATGCAAACAATACAAACACATACATACACATCTAAATACAAAAAAGAAAAAAAAATCGAATAATACAGTGCATCCCCCACCCCCCGAGATCATACCCCCCCCCCCTATATTTCTTCTTCTATAACAGCTAAAAAATATACAATCTATTCTGAATATGCCCTTATGCCCTCCAAAACAGCATATATTCTTGAGTAGGTTTATTCCCTTTGCTTTCCACCAACACTGATTTTATAAAATCCCCCCTCCATTTCATTATAATTGTTTGTTTTAATCATCCTTTTTTAAAATTTAATTTCTGTTGTTAATTTACCGTTTGTTGCCATGCTCTAAATTTCATGATACCATTCATTTCTTTGAATATTCCAATTTTGTCCCCAGTATTTAGCCATCAATAATCTAGCCACCATTATCAAATTTACAATCATTTCTTTTTTTTTTGTTTCATTTATATCCCGTTGTTCCACCAGCAACAATAATGCAGTTCTCGGTGACATGTCTAAATTTACATTCAATGGTGCTCTAATTTCTCTAAACACCATGTCCCATATTTTTTGTGCACTATCACAATCCCACCACATGTGCTTATATGTTCCAACCTCTTTCTTGCACTTCCAATATATATTTGTATATTTACCATCGATTTGATTTAGTTTACGTGGTGTTAAATACCACCTCCATATCACTTTATATCCATTCTCCTTAATTCTAACTGACATATACTCGTCTATTCCAAATGTTTTTCCAATCGTTGTCAACAAAAGTCAATCTTAACATTAAGATCACTTTAGAGAAATGTGTCAGGAATTGTGATATTTTCCTCTGTTCTAATCTGTGTGCGAGAAATAGCTGAATATTCTCTCGGTTGTTGCGGGGACGTTGGTAAAACTCCATGATGTCAACGACAGAGCCTGCCTCATCACGCAAAGGACACAATTGCACACTTGCGTCATCGTGGTGTCTGATGCAAGTACAGGTGCTCCTCGACTTACGACCACAATAGAGCCCAAATTTTCCCGTTGCTAAGCAAGACGATTGTTCAGTGAGTTTCGACCCATTTTATGACCTTTCTGCCCACAGTTGTTAAGTGAATCGTTGCCATTGTTAAGTGGGTAACATGGTTGTTAAATGAATCTGGCTTCCCCCGATGACAGAAGGTCACAAAAGGGGATCAATCCCACGTTGTCGAGAGGCCAAATGTTGATCATGTGACCACAGAGATGTGGCAATGGTCTTAAATGGAAACATGGATCGTAAGTCATTTTTTTTAGGTGCCATCGTAACTTCAAACGGTCACTAAGCAAATGCCTGTAAGTCGAGGACTACCTGTGCCCTGCATGTTCTGTGTATGTTGGCCATTGAAAAGAGGATATTAAGGTTCTCTCCCTCTTTCTCTCTCCTTTCTCTCTCCCTCTCCCTCCCTCCCTTCCTCTCCTTTCTCCCTCTCTCTTTCTCTCCCTGTCTCTCTCTCCCTGTCTCTCTCCCTCCCTCCTCTCCCCTCTCTTCCTCCCTCCCTCTCTCTCTCTCCCTCTTTCTCTCCCTGTCTCTCCCTCCCTGTCTCTCTCCCCCATTCCCTCTCTCCCTCTTTCTCTCTCTCTCCCTACCTTTCTCTCTTTCTCCTTTCTCTCTCCCCCACTCCCTCTCTCCCTCTTTCTCTCTCTCTCCCTAACTCTCTCCTCCTCTCCTCTCTCTCTCTCCGCCTCTCTCTCTTCTCTCCCTCCCTCTCTCGTCCTCTTTCGTCTCCCCTCTCCTCTCCCTCTCTCCCACTCTCTCTTCCTTTTTCTCTCTCCCTATCTCTCTCTCCTTCTCTCCCTCCCTTCTCTCTTCCCTTCACTCACGTTCTCCTTTCTCTCTCCCTCTCTCTCCCTCTCTCTCCCTCCCTTTCATTCTCTCTCCCTCCCTCTCTCTCCCCTTTCTCCCTCTCTCCCCTTTCTCCCATTCTCTCTCTCCTCCCACTTCTCCACTTTCTCTCCCTCCCTTTCTCTTTCCTTCCCTCCCTCTTTCTCCTTTCTCTCATTCTCTCTCCCTCTCTCTCTCTCCCTCCCTCCTCTCCCTCCCTCTTCCCCTCCCTCTCTCTCCTCTCCCGCCTCTTTTCTCTCTCCCTCCTCCCTCCCTCTTTCTCCCTCTCTCTCCCTCCCTCCCCCCCTCCATCTCTCTTTCTCTCCCCTTTCTCTCCGTCCCTCTCTCTCTCCCTTTCTCTGTCTCCCTTTCTCTCTCCCTCCCTCTCTCCCCTTTCCCCATCCCTCTCTCTCTCTCCCGCTTTCTCTCCCTCTCTCCCTCCCTTTCTCCCTCTCTCTCCCTCCCTCCCCCCTCCCTCCATCTCTCTTTCTCTCCCCTTTCTCTCCGTCCCTCTCTCTCTCCCTTTCTCTGTCTCCCCTTTCTCTCTCCCTCCCTCTCTCCCCTTTCCCCATCCCTCTCTCTCTCTCCCGCTTTCTCTCCCTCTCTCCCTCCCTTTCTCCCTCTCTCTCCCTCCCCCCCTCCCTCCCTCTCTCTTTCTCTCCCCTTTCTCTCCGTCCCTCTCTCTCTCCCTTTCTCTGTCTCCCCTTTCTCTCTCCCTCCCTCTCTCTTTCTCTCCCTCTCTCTCTTTCTCTCCCTTCCTCCCTCTCCCCCTCCCTTCTCTCTCCCTTCTCTCTCGCTCTCCCTCTCTTCCGTCTGGCAGAAAATCAGCTGGAGAATGACAAGATGCAGAAACAGTATCACAATCGCATGGCACTGGGTCAGGTGAAGGCGTTGGAGGACCGGGTGATGTTTCTGGAGCAGGAGAACAAGGATGCGCTCCAGGTATACGAAGCAACCTTGGTCCCACAAGGGGGTTTCCCAGGCTGCAGTCAAGGAAATGAAATCAGATTGATCTGGCAATAAGATCTTGAGATCAAACAAATCGGGACGTTTAGTAACAAATCGAAATAATAATGCCTGATGAGCATAAAGGGGCAATATAGACTAACACGTTTCATCATTTCAATTATTCTTTCACTCATAAATCAGGGTTTACCAATTTTGTCAACTTTAAACGCTGGGCTTCAACATCCAGAATTCCCTAGCCATTATGGCTGGCTGGGGAATTCTGGGAGTTGAAGTCCAGCATCTAAAAGTTGTCAAGTTGGACCAAACGAGGCATAAACTATTCGTTTCATTTACTCAAAGCAGCCTAAAGAAAAATGCATTTTCTGGTAAGCAGGACTGGCCACTTGAGTTTGCTAATCAGTACCGTGAAACTGTCTAGACAGGATTTTGAAACTGACTAGATCACATTCCTGTTTCTCTCCGGTTTTGAGCTTGAACACGATGGGCGATGTACTCAGAACTGGTGGGGTGAATCCCAATCTCTGCTTCCTCCAAGGAATCCTGTGGATTCTGTTTTTCTTAAAATGTAATGCAATGTAAGTTATTTAGTTATTACATTAATATGCCACCCATCACACCGATAAAAGCAGTTCTGGGCAGCTTACAAAATGGTAAACAGGTAAATTTAAAAGCCGTTAACATTAAGAAAAATAAGAACGAAAATCATGGGAATTGGACCCAGAAAAAAAAAATGGCAACCAATGTAGCTTGCGCAACAGCGGTGTTATGCGCACCTCCTTAAGGATTTACACAACTGTCGAACCACTACATTCTGTACTAGTTGTAGCTTCTGAATACTCTTCAAGGGTAGCCCCAGGTAGAGCGCCCTGCAGTAATCCAGCCGAGAGATGACCAAGGAATGAATGACTGTGTGCATTTATTTATCGTATGGCGGATTCACATCGTATTTCGATAGAAACACAAAAGATAAAAATACAAAATATGACATATAATGTTTAAAGTATTATAAATGTATATCTAAATTACAAGTATAATTTTTGCTTCATTTGTCACAGCCAGGAAACCAGCAAGGTTTCCATTATAGATTCTGTTTTGGCACTCTGATACTACCCTGTTTTCCCAAAAATAAGAAACCCTCTGATAATAAGCCCAATCAGGCTTTGAGCACATGTGCTCAAATAAGCCCTCCCCAAAAATATTTAACTGCATGCACAGCCAGTCCCCGCCATTTCCTCTGGTTAGGGAGACAGAGCTGGAAATCAAATAAGATGGCAAGAGGAGCCCTGTCTTAAGTTTAGGTTTAGGTTTATTAAATTTGTATACCGCCCTTCTCCCGAAGGACTCAGGGCGGTGAACAGCCAAAATTAAAATACATACAGTATAAAAATTAAAATAAATTAAAACAGAATTAGATCAATTTGGCTTCCCTAAATTTTAAAACCCTTTACCCATAAAATAGCCCATTAAAATTTTAAGCCAGCCCGGCTTGCTGAAATAAGAAGGTCTTCAACGCTCGGCGGAAAGTACGGAGGTCCGGGATCAGTCGTATTCCTGGGGGTAGCTCGTTCCAGAATAGCTCTTATTCATAATTATATTATTATGTAGCTCTTGCTCCACGCGCCCCAAAATAATAAGACCTCCCTGAAAATAAGGCCAAGCACTTATTTCAGGGTTCAAAAAAAATATAAGACAGGGTCTTATTTTCGGGAAAACATGGTATATGTTGGATAGTTTGGTTTTTTGGCCATGCGGTCACAATTCAGTCATGGTATTTTGCTCCACTTATAATGGGGTCTGCATATCTACCACGGCCAATGTGAATTTGGTTCAGTATTGTCCATATCACATGGGACGGCTCAAATCCAGGTGGTTTTGATGCAAGGCAAAGTTCAACATTATGGAGTGCAATTTTTTATCTGTATGCAATTTGGACTCCTGATCCTGCTGTTCCTTACCCTGGGGGACTGCAGAAGGTGGTCCAAAATCTCAGTCGACACCTGATTCCTGTGTGTTTCACTGCTTGGCAACCCAGATGAAACCTGCTGTACGGCTATCAATGCTCTGTCAGTGTCTCGTTCCTGTGTGTTTTACCACTTGGCAACCCAGATGGAGCCTGGTGTACGGCTGTGAATGCTCTGTCAGTGTCTCGTTCCTGTGTGTTTTACCACTTGGCAACCCAGATGGAGCCTGGTGTACGGCTGTGAATGCTCTGTCAGTGTCTCGTTCCTGTGTGTTTTACCACTTGGCAACCCAGATGGAGCCTGGTGTACGGCTATCAATGCTCTGTCAGTGTCTCGTTCCTGTGTGTTTTACCACTTGGCAACCCAGATGAAACCTGCTGTACGGCTATCAATGCTCTGTCAGTGTCTCGTTCCTGTGTGTTTTACCACTTGGCAACCCAGATGAAACCTGCTGTAACGGCTATCAATGCTCTGTCAGTGTCTCGTTCCTGTGTGTTTTACAACTTGGCAACCCAGATGGAGCCTGGTGTACGGCTGTGAATGCTCTGTCAGTGTCTCGTTCCTGTGTGTTTTACCACTTGGCAACCCAGATGGAGCCTGGTGTACGGCTGTGAATGCTCTGTCAGTGTCTCGTTCCTGTTGTGTTTTCCCACTTGGCAACCCAGAGGGAGCTTGCTATATGGCCAAGTATTCAGGTCCAGTGCTGATAGTGACTTCTTCTCACGATAGGGTCAGACTGAGTTGCAGGAGCAGCTACAGGCTCAGGCTTGGGAGCTGCAAGAGGAGCAGGAGCGCCATCAGGAGACGGCAGAAGAACTGCAGAGTGCCGAGGCCAAGTGTGGGGAGCTGCAGGCCCAGTTGCTGCGGCACTCACGCCTGCTGCGGGAACGACTGGAGGAGACGGAAGCTGCTGCTCGACGGGTGGAAGGGCTACGCAAGGAGCTGGCCCGTACTGAGAGTGGACGCAAGGAGGTACTTTCTTCTCTGCACATGCACACACACACACACACACACACACACACACACACACACACACACACACGTATATGTTCCTCACTGGACTCCTTCCCAAGAGTCCAGAGTGTCTGTTCTGAATGTTAAGAGCTCTGTGGCTTTTTAAAATAATTTTTAAAATTTAATTTGACAGTTGAAGTCCACAAATCGTAAAGTTGCCAAGGTTGGAGACCCTGTCCTAGATTGCCTTCCGCAGTTTCTGGGCTGCAGGAATACACAAGACAGTCCCCCCTTCAAACTACCTTTCCTCCAGAACATGAGAGAAATTCTCTTCTCTTCCTGCAGCTGGAGCTCCGGATCGAAAACCTGGTGGGTGAGGTGACCAAGCAGCGAAAGGGACGGGAGAGAGCGGAGCAGCAAATGCGGAAATTGAAAGACGAGCTGGAGGAGTTGCGGGTAGGGCTGTGCTGTGCAGACATCGGAGGAATCTTAATCCTAACGGCGGCATTAACCTGCCAACCCTGAAGCTGACCTGATCGAAGCCATTCTTGGGAGCTTCAGTGTTGCCATACTGGAGCTGAGGGCTAGGGACTCGGGGGGAACCCTGACATTAAAACCGCTTCACCGCATTGATTTGGGGCTCTCTTGCAGGCAAAGCCAAGCACGGCCATCTTCAAGCGGTCCAGTTCCAGGAGACGTCCGGAGCCGTGCGGAGCGTGGAAGGAGGAGCTGCAAGCCAAGGGACGGCAGGTTGAGGCTCTGACGGAGGAGGTGGCCCAACTGCAGGAGCAGCTGGAGAAAACCAGGAGGCAGCGGTGAGCAATGTAACGGGATGCTGCGCGAGGCTGGCGAGAGAAGGGAGGAGGTGTCCCGGGATCACTGGTCACCATTTGCAACCTTCCCAGCTGGCTTTTGTCAGCGTTGCAACACTGCCATAGAGAGAGCAGAGGACAGCGAAAGATAAACTCTGAAACTTTTGCCTGCAAAATCCCTTTGAAGCTTGGTTGTCGTGGAGATCAGGGGAAGGGGCACATTCCTGAGAAATGACGGGGAAAAGAAGTCTGGAGAATGACTTGGAAGACAGCCAATGAGAAGCAGAGTCTTGGGGGTCGGAAAGGGAGGGATTGGGAGGCAAAAGGTCAGTCTTGTCCGCGCGGAATCATGATCCGGTGGCTGAGCTCAATTAAAGAAAGATTTCCTTAAAGATTGGCAGTTTGGAAATTCATTTAATTTTGAGACAGTACCGCAGTCTGAAAGCTTTCACTAAGCAAAGTCAAAGGGATTCCCTTAACGACTGTGTGATTCCCTTAACAACCATGAAATTGGGTGTGGTCACGTGATGACTCACTTAATGACCACATTGTTTAGAGATGGAAGTTGCGATCACCGTTGTCAGGCATCTCGAACAACCTTGGCAACTTTAAGACTTGTGGACTTCCAACTCCCAGAATTCCCCAGCCAGCCACAAGTCCACAGGTCTTAAAAGATCCCGGCCATTGTGGTCGTAAGTCGAGGGCTATCTGTACCATGAATGTTGTTTTTTTTCTGCCTAGGTGCGAAAATATGGAGCCGAACAGAGGAGGCCAAGCGGCCATGAGCAACAGCTGCAGCCCCCGGCCTTCTGGTGACCAGGTAGACGTGCATCAAATTCCGAGGAACTTTATGGTTTTCCAAATTACCTATTCCCCCCACCTGCCCCCCCTTTTTTTTCTCCAGGTGCATAAAATAGGGTGCTCACCTGCCACCTTGCTCCACAACAACAACCCTGTGAGGAAGGCTGGGCTGAGAAAGTCTGATGCATCAGCCGAGCTGTTGTGATTGTGTTCTGACCCAGCTGCCCAAACACGAAAAAACCCTTTGAAGTGAACTCAAAGATTCCTTTATTATGAATACCGGCAGCCCCGGCAAAAAAGTTTCTCAGGCTAACAAGTCCTTCCGGCAGGGAGATGAATAGTTATCTGCCACATCTATTCATCTCCGCCCCCTGCCTTTTATCCCCACAGCTAGGGTGGGGCTTCTCTAGCAGAAGTTGCTCTTCCGTCCCTTGGACTGGCCCTTAGATTTCCACTGCTCTCCTCTCCTCTGCCTTCTGTGCATCCGTACATCAGGCACTGGACCCAGCTGTTCCTCCTCCTCCTCATCAGCCACCTCCAGACCTGGGGGCTGTTGACCCTCCATCTGACGGCTGACAGACGGCCCAGGCTCCTCCTCTGTCTCTCTCTCTCTCTCTGACAGCTCCATTCCCTCCTCCCCCTCGGAGATCTCAGGTTGCCCTGATGCTGACCTTGACTCCCACGCCTCTTCCTCCTCTGATTCGGCTCCTCTGCTTGAGGGGCCGGCGGCCGACAGGCCACAACAGAGTGGGACTTGAACCCAGGACACTCCACTCCTGCTGTAGCCCCTTCCCCACTGTACCCCAATGGTTCTTTTAAAGGCTGCAGTCTGCTTCTTTTGTGGCTTGCAACAGGTGGATTCTCGGGGTAACGAGTCCTTGCACCCAGGACCAGGGAGCTGCACGTCCGAATTCCACAAAGCTGCCTTCACCAACTGGGAGGTTCAGATCGCCGACATTTTGAAGTGGTGAGGGAATCCCTCCGGAGTTTGAATTGGCAAAGTTGCCTCTGAGGATAAGCGGAGCGTTTTCTTCTCTTTTAAAGGAGCCCAACATCTAGTGCAGCCTTCCCCCAACTTGGCGCCCTCCAGATAGGTTGGGACAAGACAACCCCACCCCCTTGAATCTCATCCAGTGGAATTCTGGGATTTGTCGTTCAGAGCAAGATGTTGAGAGACATCAGCAGGAGGGAAATTATAATTTTAGTTATATCTT